GTGACTTCGCTCACCTACCTCATAGATTTTTAAGGGGATCTGTAATATGTGATAAATGTGCCTTAAGTTAGTGGAAGTTGTAAGAATTTTTATTTTGTTAAGGATGAAATAACTATTATACATATTGTAGAATTAATGAGATTTATGGTACTTGTATATTGCATGAAATTACTATTAGTTTTGTAGTAATAATTTGTGTAAATAATGTAAATATAAAATTATGTTCAAATATTATAACGAAACACATTAAATATATAATTATTTTAAAATATTAATTGTTTTATTTTTTGCCTAGTTTGGGAACTATCAATAGATTCTTCAAAAGTCAAGTATTTCATAAAAGTGACTGCTAGTAACTAAATTAACATAAAATTAATTAAATTTTATTTTAATATATTTAAGGAATTTACTAACCCATAGTCGGCAAAATAATTTCAATTACAATCCTAACAATTTAAATAAGTACCTACCTACGTTTTAGTTATTTTACTAGTAGAACTTCTTAAACAATTTATATAATAAGTACATGCAGATGGTTTAAGTCTATACATGAAAGTCTCTATATGCAGAATAACAGAAGCCTTTAAAAAAATGCACTTGAAAAAGTAAACTTTATTAGTAGGTCCTTACATATCAAATTGGTGTTTTATAACGAAAAAGAAAGAGCAAAAACATTTATGTATTTTGATTAATCAATCAAATTATGATAATTATGACATACGGAACTGAGACGTGGTCCTTCACTGCTGGCCGGATGAGGAAGCTCAAGGTCGCTCAGCGAGCTATGGAGAGGGCTATGCTCGGAGTTTCTCTGCGCGATAAACACAGAAATGAGGATATCCGCAGTAGAACCAGAGTGACCGACATAGCCCAACGGATTAGTAAGCTGAAGTGGCAATGGGCCGGCCACATAGCTCGAAGAACCGACAACCGATAGGGAAGAAAGGTTCTCGAGTGGCAGCCTCGTACCGGCAGGCGAAGTATAGGGCGTCCCCCCACTAGATGGAGTGACGATCTGGTAAGATATGCAGGAAGTCGATGGATGCAGGTGGCTCAGGACCGTGCCTATGTTCAGCAGTGGACTTGTGAAGGGCTGTAATGATGATGATGATGATGAATCAAATTATGTACCATTGTTATCTAGGCACTTTCGGCATTTTATAGGTAGTTTATTGAATCAATAAAATGTTTGAAGGCGGTTTTGACTGCCTCATCGTATCTAATTGAATTTTCACTTTGCAAGAAATTGTTCAAATTTCAGAAAAAGTGGTAATCTGATGGAGGAAGTTCTGAGGAGTACGGTGGGCTTCGGATACATTCCAATAGCAGTTCCTCTTATTTAGCGAAAGTCTGTTGTGCAGCAGCAGTGGACTAGAGAAATTGACCAATCTCGGTTGTTTAACGGCTTACTTTATAAACAATAATAAAGTAAACCGAAATTGTTGAGAATACAGATCTGCTGTAATCGTCTGGCCAGATCTTAGGAAGCTAGCGAAGTAGGTAGTGGATGACACAGGCACTGGTCCACCAGACACTTACCAGTTTCTCTCAATTTTCGCTTGGGGCAGGATTTGGCTGGTTCTCCTCCTGTGTTCAACCACTGTTATTAGCGTTTCCAATTATCGTACAGGATCTATTTTTCATCACAAGTAACGATACAATTCAAAATCCTCCTGTTATTGTGACGATTGAGTAATGTAACCCAGCTTTTGACACGTATTAGTTGGTGTGCTTCACTCAATTCATGCGGTATGCCATTTTTCAAGCTTTTTTTATAGGATAGGGTGACAAACGAGCACACAGTCCACCTGATGGTAGATAAGTGATTGCTGTGGCCCATAGACATCTACATCTATCATCGATTACCAATCAAAATTCAGATGCGTTGTCACCCATGAGGACTAAGATGGAATGCCCCTTTTCCAGTAAAAAGGGTCTCCGGTTCTCTACACTCACCATACGAAATCCAGCAGCATTAAGCTGCTATTTTACGCTGGTATTCTGTGAGAGCGTGGTCCTTCCCCGGTCAAACCGACCCATTCGTGCTACAACTATACTACTAATATAGCTGCAGCATGGCTCTATTACGTTAAAGCTTTTTAACTTTCCCAATTCATTTCAAATGAATAAAAATTGTTTTATCACACACCCAAGCCGCTAACTCTGACGTGGTTTGCGATGGATCCGCTTCCACAATCACTTAATTCTTCAATGTCAACTAAGGTCTTCCGCCGTCCATAGGGTTTGTTCTGTAGGTCGAAATTTCCAGAATGAAAACGTTGGAACCAAAAACGTACCGTGTTTTATTTTACAGTAGTTTTCCCTATACACATCAATAATCCTTCGAACTGTTTCTGCAGCGTTGGTGCTAAGGTGGAACTCGTATTCGTAAATAACGCGATATTTTAAGTTTTCCATATTGTGTCCAACAGAACGATGTCAAAGAAAAATCAAATGGCACGAAAACAAATACATAAATCACTCAATTCGAAATACAAATGCACTGGCCTAAATTTGAATTTGGAATTCCTAACCAAACTCCAGATATTTGAAATCAAAGTGGAGTTCTATTTCATATGTAAGAACTTTATACATATTATATAGATTTAGAGATTATCACCCTCCACGTGGTGATGCCGTAAGAGAATTCATCACCCCATTTATCTCATGGCTAACGGGGAAATAAGCAAAAGCCAACCATACTTGAGACATCTGATACTGGATTAGCGATTGTATCCTACCAAATTATCTCTTCAAGGCAATAGTGAATAGGTTTTTGAAAAGCTAAGTCAGTGTGTTTTATCATCTTCGGTAACATCACCACTTACCATCACGATGGATGGTAGGTAGTCAGGCATTGTCTTATATATTATAGTATAGGCATTGTCCTATACATACTTTATGTGAGCTATATATTCTTGCATTTAATTACTAAATAAATATAAAATTGGTATCTCGAAAACGACTAACGATTTGGGTGAAATTGTGTATTTTGATAATGTTTTACTTTCCAAGGTTATTTTGATAGATTTCAACTCTTGAGAAAATTATATTTTTTAATGCCAAACAAATCTTAGTCGCCCAGGTGGGTACTAATATTTGAATAGTTGTTAAGTCCATGGGGTAAAGGGAATGTCCATGTCCAGAGTTAAGAGTGCAGCCGTCTGATTGCCTATCCTGGCAAAAAACAAGTATTTAAAGGCCTGAAAGATGTAAAAAAAAGAACTTTTGTTTAATGAAAGTAAGAAATAAAAACATAGCACACATTTATAAATCTTTATTACACAGTTTTAGTCTTCATTTCACACTTAACACATTTATGATTTATGATTGTAACATTAGTAAAAAAGCATAACAAAGTAACATTATCGAAAAGGTTATTTTAATCAAGTAACAAGAAACTAAAATAAATCTGACAATTATTAATAGTGGTTTGTCATTGACAAATAAACGCCCAAAATTTTATTATGACCCTATTATAAAAACAAAACAAAAAGAACGATCACTGAATTAAAAAAATCTAATTGGAAGATCTCTTAAATAATTTGTTCGTTATATTTTTATAATATACTTTTTAGTTGTGAATAAGTTTAAAGGAAATATTTAGCTATCTATTAAATAATCATGGGAATTCAACAGGTCCAATTACACAGTAACATTAAGTTGTGGTGGTTTGAAAGAAAATGCTGATAAAGGCTAAATTCTTAACCATAATAAATAATGAACTTCAGTCAAGTGTATTAAAAAAAATCAAATCGATTTATGGAAAAAAGTCAATAGCTAGCAATTGATCAGTGATTAGTGATAGATCAGTTATGATTCTAAATTGAATAAAAAGTTATATTTTGACAAAACTCAGCATTGTTCCACTCTACTAAAAATCAAGACAACCTGTATAAACCTGTTACATAACACTTACAATTTTTTAATCAAGTTTTCAGATGAGTTCACTGTAACAATAAGTACTATAATGCTTACTTTGTAACATGCTATGTAACCCTTTCGCTGTTCCGTGCACTACATATAGGTCATTGCTATTGTGTCTGAAAACCGGACAATGAAAGTGTTAACATTTAAATGATACAGGTTGGTCATCAATTTTAGTCATTAGTATATTACAGACAGTCAGCCTTGTCAGCCCTGTGCAGGGGTACCATGAGAAAAGAAGAAACAGAGAATCATGTGCCACTGGTATAACCCGAGGTCACCATTTACATGGAGTTGCTTGTAACAACAGCCTGCTGTTGTTGTAAGCTAGCCATCTAAAGTCATCAATGGATGGGTGAGAATCTAAACTATTCATTAATATGATCACCATTTCCAATGTGTACACTAGGTACATGTTTGGAAAATTATTTTTTTTTTTCATAGAATGTGGGTGAAATACAAATATAGTCCACATTTATCTTTGATTAAGAATCAAAATGCATATGCATTCTCACCCCTGAGAACTGTGATGGAATGCCTCTGTTCCGGTAAAAAGGGTCTCCACTTCTCTACATTCACCATATGAAACACAGCAGAATTATTCTGCTAATTTATGCTGCTATCCTGTGATGATAATGCTGGTAGAGGATGGTCCAACCCCGGTCAAGCCGACCCATTCGTACTACAACCATAATATAGCTGCAGAGTGGCTCTTCCTCGTAAAAAAATATTATATTTATTAGATCACATAATTCTTAACATGACACTGAATGCAACACCCACATAATAATAAAGAAAAAAATAAGAATTGGAATGACATTTAATTATCTACCAGTGTGCAAATTGCTGTGTTAAATTCATGTTAACACTCACTAAACTCATACATTTTAATATACCTTTAGTCATTTCAAGATTATGTACATAGTGTGTATATTGTCTTATTTGAACTGTAGATAGAAAAAGAGATATAAAACATTTAATAAGTTTTAATTTGGAAATTATATAGAAGCATAAAATAGATTTCCTTTGAAATATTGTTACTCACAACTACAATTAGAAATGTACACACAGTTCTATCCAGTTACAAGGTTTTGTAGTTGAGATGTCAATTCAGAAGCATCTATGTTAGCTTTAGCATTGTTTGGTGTTGTCATAGGAGGAGCTGGCTCCCGATTACATGCTTTTTTGTGCACAAACCAATGGAGACGTTGGCATTCTCTGTCACAATATTGTACCATTTTACATTTAGAACACTTCTTAGCAGGTTTCTCTTCACCGCAGGTACTGCAGTAAGGTATTGCATCAACAAATCCACGCTGACCATTTATTGTGCAATTAATTACCGAGAGAGCTGGTGGTGGATCTTTACTTGTTAATGCAGTCACCATCTGATGGAATGTTGTACATTCTCTGTATGGGAACTCTCTGACACAATCTTTTAAGAAAGAATCCATTAGGTCCAATGACACACCATCTTTACCTGGTTTTAAAAGCTTCTTTGCAAATATTTCAATTGGGTCATGTTTCTTTTCCTCTTTATCTGTGTTTGATTTTTGTTTATCTCTTATGTTGTGTATTTCTTTCAGAACATATGATAAGTAATGATATTTAAACGCCATTACTTCATTAGTGTCACTTCCTCTTGTCATTTCTCTTTTGCATAACATTTCTAGTACTTTACTTGCCTTATCGGCATTTTCTAAAAGGACAGGCGTATGCTGTATATTAAGAGCTAACCGCACAGGATGAATATTCACTCCCAAAACAAACTTGTGAAGAGGTTCAACTAACACTGGCGGCAGATAAGGTTCCGTCTGTTGTCCCCTTGGTACAGAATAGTAAGAAATTTCACTTAAAGGCACAAAATTATTAATAGTAGCTACAGTATGATGATTTCCGACAAATGCCGCCATCTGTGATGCTGTACGTCCTACAGAATTAGTTGCAGTAGGTTTAGCTCCAGCATTTAACAATAATCTACATACATCTGAGTTTCCTGACAATGCTCCGAAATGTAACGCTGTGTAATTATACTCATGTTTACCAGAGTTTACATCGGCTCCCTGCGAAGTAAAAAGTAATTAGAATATTATATGAAAGAAATATTTTACACTACACCTTAGTCTTATATCTTACCCTATCAAGCAGGAGTTGGACCATTTCCTTGTTACCCTTGTAAGCTGCATGCTGAAGAGCGGTCATGCCATTTTCGTCAAACAAATCAACACTGCCCTTGTGATGAGACAAAATATTATTGAACTCATCTAAGTCTCCTTGTGCTATAGCATTGAAAATAGTTTTTTCTGGCGCAGCCTGTTCATCTGATTTAGTCTCCATAGTAGATTTCTACACTGTAAATATTTATTTATGATGAAATTTAAAAACTATTTGGAAATCCTCAATTTAATAAAATCTGATAAAATCATTAATCAGTCTAGCTCATAGAGTAGAGTAATAGTCTAGCTCAAAGAGTAGGGATATTCGATGATCATCGATGTTAAAAATTAAAACATCGATGTTTTAACATCGATATTACCACATGTCAAACATTGAAACATCGATGTCAAAGAACTCATTATCGATTATTGGGAACTTGCGTAACCGTGAAATCAATATCAAATAAATCTTGCATCTCCTCTAAAATATTTAACATGTTGAATAATTCAGAATTCCTAAACGCATCGATAACCTAAAAAAACGTCATAAGGGTGCATTAAACTTAACTGTCAACTGTAAAGTCACAGTTGTCACTATAGAGATATATACATATGGAGAGGGCATATTCCACTATAGAAATAATAGTTATACAAATATCTATAATATCGACACACATTTGTCAAAAATAGTTTTGTCTCTTTTTAACAAAGCAGTCTCTGCAATAGAAAAGAGAGACATCTACAGTTTGTAAAGTGCTTATTTTGGTAATACTTTCCTGTGACGTCATTAGCTCATCCGTGCGTGACTGCGCTGCTATGTTAAGTGCCAAGTTTTGAGGTAGATCTGCTGTTAAACTGTCAAAAAGCAGTGAAATAGTGTCGTACACTCTTATCTATGATGTCGATAGAAATTATTTTAATGAAAATTAATATTGTTCAGAAATGAATGATGTTTATAAATCCTGGATATAATATTTCATCAACCTTTCCATGATCATTAATGTACCTGCGAAAATAATTACATTTTTCATTTAAAATCTGAATAAAAAAATTAAATATGATATCCGGCAGGATATGGAAAGTGTGAGAGTGATATCGAAAGAAGAGTGAATGCAGGAAACATGGTGAATGGAGCTTTGCACTCCTTAATGAGCTGTCGGAAGGTGTCTAACAAGGCTCGTTTGGCTGTGCATGAGGGGGTGTTGGTCCCGACACTCATGTACGGATGTGAAAGTTGGGTATGGCAGAAGAAACATGAAAGTAGAATAAATGCAGTTGAGATGAGAGCATTAAGAAGTATGACAGGAGTTAAACTAAGTGACAGGATAAGAAATAGTGAGATAAGGAAACGTTGTGGTCTGAAAGATGATGTAGTGACAAAAATTGAGAAAGGTATGCTGAGATGGTTTGGCCATGTCGAGAGAATGAATGAAGAACGATTGACGAAGAAAGTGTTTAAGGCGAGTGTGAATGAAAGTGTTGGAAGGGGTAGACCTAGGCGGACATTTCTAGACCAAATCAGGGACGTCTTGAAAAAAGGCCAGGTCAAGAGTACCCTAAACCGTAGATCATGTATGAAGGGAATAATGAAAGTGGACGAAGCAACACAAGTATGTAAGGATCGTAGCAAGTGGAAAGAAGTGGTCTCTGCCTACCCCTACGGGAAAAAGGCGTGATTATATGTATGTATGTATGTATCCGGCAGGACCGAACATGCTTATATAACTTAGCATTTGTGATAAATTATGTGCAGAACGTTCCTATATATAATAATAAATAAGTATCGACGGATTCAACTCGGCTGGGCAGCGTTCGGGAAGCTACGACACATCTTCTCGTCAGACATACCTCAAAACCTTAAAACGAAATTGTACAACCAGTGCGTGTTGCCAGTGATGACTTACGGAACTGAGACGTGGTCCTTCACTGCTGGCCGTATGAGGAAGCTCAAGGTCGCTCAGCGAGCTATGGAGAGGGCTATGCTCGGAGTTTCTCTGCGTGATAAACTTAGGAATGAGGATATCCGCAGTAGAACCAGAGTGACCGACATAGCCCAACGGATTAGTAAGCTGAAGTGGCAATGGGCCGGCCATATAGCTCGAAGAACCGACAACCGATGGGGAAGAAAGGTTCTCGAGTGGCAGCCTCGTACCGGTAGGCGAAGTGTAGGGCGTCCCCCCACGAGATGGAGTGACGACCTGGTAAGACATGCAGGAAGTCGATGGATGCAGGTGGCTCAGGACCGTGTTTTGTGGCATTCTTTGGGGGAGGCCTATGTTCAGCAGTGGACTTGTGAAGGGCTGTAATGATGATGATGATGATGAAATAAGTATTGATTTTAAAAACAGTTTATTTAATTTTTACTCAACTAATCAATATTATTTTATATTAAAAATACTATAATATGGGATTACAATATGGAATTAAGGATCTCCATCCCATCTCCATACATTTGTTTACTGTACAATATTATTGTGCAAATTTCATGGAAATCAGTTTAGTTGTTTAGGAGTTAATCGCGGACAAACAACGTGACACGTAATTTTTATATATAAAGATATGTGCAAAAACATCGATAATGGCCAACATCGATGTTTTGAGTATATTAAATATCGAACATCGATGTTGAGCTATCGATACCAATATCGATGTCATCATCAATGTTTCTACAACATCGATCATCCCTATCAAAGACTATTTTTTTTTTTTTGGAGTTTATGGCCTGGTATCTAGACCTTTAGGCCAAGTCTTAAGTATTTTTATTCGGTTTATTGTAATTTCCCCACTCCTTCATAGTATACTGCTTCACAATATGTTGATGCGTCACATTGTGCAGCTCTTGGGAGATTTTGGCGGCAACTTGATCCAGCAGACAGCTGATAGTTGGCGATGGTATCTAAAGGTGCCTATGCAAACAAACAGCTTATCTTGAGAATCCATCACCATCAGAGCACTTGTTTCGCTGTTTCCACTAATAGTTCACATGCGTAGACACTTAATACACAAAATCGCAACACTTTTACATATCAAAGTCCACTTCAAACCATTATTTAAACAATAATACAGGAGCAGCAAACCGCCGCCGGTCAATTTCCCGCCAAAACTCTATCAAAGACTATAGTTATAGTAATCACAGATTAACTAGTAGATTCTAGTTTACTGAAATAGTAACTGTTAACGTCTTTGAGCATAGAATTCTAAGCTCAATCATTATAGTAACCACAGATTAACTAGTAGATTCTAGTTTACTGAAATAGTAACTGTTAACAACGTCTTTGAGCATAGAATTCTAAGCTCAAAGGTTAACGTAGTGATTATATTCTCTTTGGTAACTGTCACAAAGTCACAGACTAACTAATATGATGCTTACCGCTTACGCATGCAATTTTTTTATAACTGAAATTACTATGTATAATTATCCTTCATAGTGCACTGCTTCACAATATGTTGATACGTCACATTGTGCAGCCCTTGGGAGATTTTGATGGCAACTTGAGCCAGCAGACAGATGACAGTTGGCGATGGTATCTCAAGGCGCCTAAGCAGACAGACACCCTAACTTGAGAATCACATCACCATCAGAGCACTTGTTTCGCCGTTTCCACTAGTTCACATGCACAGACACTTAATACACAAAATTGCACCACTTTTATATATCAAAATCCACTTCAAACCATTATTTAATCAATAATACACGAGCAGCAAACCGCCGCCGGTCAAGTTCCCGTCAAAAAATCTTACGCATGTAACTGTCCTACTGTCTGCACTGTGAAGTGCCCTCTTCCGTGCGGGATTCGAACCCGCGGCCCCCAGCGTTGCAACTCATTGCTAAACTAATGAGCCATGGAGCCGTCAACAACAAGTAACATTATTTAATCTGTGACATAGTGGCGGGAGGGGCATGCGGCTGCGGCAGGCGCTCGGAGGCCGCGACACGACTGCACGTGTTTGTAGACTCACATAAATTGCAAGCAAATACAACTGGCCGCCACCGCAAGCCGCTTCTGTGTGGGAGACGCTTTATGCTTTGTCCCCACAGACTAATTCGATGCTTACGCATACTGTCCCGCAGAACATAATTATACAACCTTAACACTGTCCTTACAGGTTGCGCTGGCGCTTCTTACTTCTTATTAGTTTGTGCTACAGGAGTGAGCAAGCTCACAGTTTACCCCTAATAGGTACCGCATCATTGAATATTTGTTCTGTTTTGAGTTCACCAAATGTGGCGGTATGCAAGGGTTGCGAGAGACGTGTCAAATGCGCTGTGATTGAATATTTAAAGGTTAAACCACAGAATAAATAATAGGTTAAACTTAGAATGCACCAAACCAGTGATGGAACAGGGTTGGGACGTTGATCGATAAATTTGGGATTTATTTATTATTGATAAATAAATATATTGATCAATTTTTGTTTGATGGGTGATTATTTGAAAACGAGGATTTTAGACTAATTGGTCTGGCTTCAATTTTTTTGTGTTATTTTGTAGAAATTATAATATTACTTTATCCTGGTCAAAAAATGTAATAATTGTATATTGAACGCACTGAATTGCTTCCGGTAGTTTATGAATTAGGGTATCCTGATGAATTAAACAGCAAGATGAATGATGAGAAAGACAGAAGAATGAGACTTTGCTAACATATTAATGAGAATCGTACAGATAAATGATAATATCATGTTAGTTCCAATCAACTTTATTATTAAATGCGGAAATAATTACTTCAATTTTTTTGTTCACATAATTAAATACTACTATATGAAATGTTGTCATACGTTAGCAATTAAAAATAAATAGTTCAAGTAACTAAATTTTAAGGTTTAATCATTTTTAATAAGCTAATATAATTGAACGTAATGCCATGCAATGAAAAAAATTATAAAAAACCCGTTATTAACTAAATCCTTACAAAATAACTCTTATAAGTTATAACACAACATTAAAATAAAAACATAATCATAACCATCTTTCAGACTTAATTTTGGATAGGAACTTCAATCATGAGATCGTAGAAAACTTAATGTACCTAAATACATTTTAAAAAATATTCAAATCGTCATCGTCATCAGTGTCCATTAAGTATGGATTAACATTTTCTAAATCAATACTAAATTCTTTATACCATCCATATTACCATCTCTTCAAAAAGTTATCACTGAGATATCATCGAAGTCAAC